TTAGGTCGAGTTCTTGGCCATGTATTTTTTTACAAAATATTGAAAAAAATATTGAGATCAGATTGGAAGGGACTTTAAAAGAGTGAGCAGGATTCAATCATTCAAATTTTTAAGCGGGGAAATCGTGTCTATTGTTTTACATTCGATGCCATGTGCTTTACTTTCATAAGAACAACAGTGAAAAACGCAAATGTAAGTAATCTTTGCCCAATAACTTCTGAACAAAAGATGTTTTACGTAGCCAGAAGTTTACTACAGAGCTAATTGGCGTGATAAACGTCTGGCAAGACTTTCGTCTCTTTATATATTTTATGCTGTTAAAATCCGAACATAATTTAGTATTCCGTTAAATTAAGAGTTCCTTGTCCTAAAATGAAATCAATAATAATGAATTCAAGCTTTGCTTTTTACGGTCCATGCTCAATGTCTTTTATTTTGGAATGAGTTTTGTTTTCGATAATTCGCGCATCCGGTCAAACGCTCGCCAAATTCAAACCCGCCCGAAATAAATCTATCGAAAGAAAAAATTTTAATGATATAACTTATTTTTCGCCAAGACAAATAAAGCATCATGATGGCAATGTTGGAAACGGATAGAATTTTCGTTACACCAGTCACTGACAGCAAATCTATACTTTGTTGGCACTGAAAACTTTACACTGTTTATTGCAGTTTTAGAACGCTTTTCATTAATCGAATAAATTTGAGCGCTTGCTATTTTGGAGCCAAAATAATATTGCTTGGAAACTAAAACACTCCTAAATAACACCAGTTATCATTCACTGATTTTGGTACCTTTTAATAATGCAAACACGAGGGTTATTCTACGAGAACTACAGCGTTTGCGTGAATCTGAGCCAAATTTAATGTTAATGTTACTCCCAAGCCGTGAGAACCTTTGTCACTCCCTATGCTAATCAGTACTATATTCCGATATATCTTGTACATCCCTGTACATTGTCGGTATAACACTTGTTCCAGTATGACGTCATATCTGAAATACAGCATTTAGGTGAATCAAAGATATGGTCATTCATTCTCCTAAGAAATTTAGTTATGATGAAAAAGCACCGTTCCTGGTTTGATTTTAGTTTTTGGAGAACAGTAATTGAAACAAATTCACAACTCGCTTCATATTTGCGCCTAAAATGTAAGTTAAGGTTCATTTTATGTAAATTAAAGACTAACTGTGTTTTATTCTAATTGCAACGTTCTCGTATTGGTGTTTCGAAGTCTCAATTTCTTCTCATAATGGCTTTTTCGAGTTGATCTCAAATTCGCCACACGCCAAAGTTCCACAGAAAAGCGCGAGTGAAATTATCGATAACGTCACGATTGCTTTATTCTTGGCCTTGTTTCAGTGATGAATAAACTGACCATTGTTGGAACATAGTCGAAGCATCTTCGAATTGCATGTGGAAATCCTCGGAATCTGTCGGAAAATGGTTATAAACCGGGATTGGTATAATCGATCTTCGGATAATTTTCAAACATCGTCGGAAATATCAAGTGGAGAATGCGGAAAATAGCATTTCCAAGCCTCTAGATTTCAAAATTTCTGGTTGAGCATAACCCCAGACTACCCTAGAGACTCGTTTCAGTGATGAATAAACTGTACATTGTAAGTACATAACCCGGAGCATTNCCCCCCCACCCCCGGCATTACAAAAAACCTAGCACACGAAGAAAAAAGACATGGGCGTGGGACGCAAATTAAAGACATGTTGCATTCATTACTACTGATTTCAACTACATTAGACCGCAGTTTAAACTCTGATTGTGTACAGATTTCTGACCGCACACAGTCATAACTTTTCATATTACAGCTTTCCAGCTGCAAATAAGAAGGAGATTCAAAATCAAGTTATTTATTGCTATTCTAACTCCTCTTGTTAAGGTTACTGTAGACCTTCAGGGTTGCCTTCCGAAAAATACTTTCTTTGTACGCTGCTTTAAATAATGTTTTTGTTTGGGTGGACAAGCGCGAGGCTTTGAACGCAAAACTGACCGCACTTGCCAAACTGAATTACAAGCCCTTGTGTTACCGCGGACATCCAAACTCACTGGTCTATATCACTTAGGAGATGATGGGTAACGAAGTGTGTGAGCCTTTCTCGATCTTTCTATTGGTTGCTTAGTAAATCACTTTTAAAGTTGGACGCTAGAGAATATCGTCGATTTTCTCAAAGTATTTAAAATATTAAGAAACCGGCTCATTTTGAAATTACTAACAGCAGAAATGGCGATAACGTTAGTACTATTAGTACTCAGTCATTCAAATGTTTAATTAAGCAGAAAAATCGTGTCTATTGTTTCACATTCGAGCCATGCACGTGCTTTATTTTCATACTGACAACACTGAAAAAAACAGAAGTGTAAGCAAGCTTTGCTCATTTACTTCAGAACGAAAGTGTTTTACATGGCCAGAAGTTTATAAGAAAGCTAATTGGCGTGATAACCTTCTGACGAGACTTTCGCCAAAATATATGAACTAATTAATGAACAAAATACTCTACATGAATCGTAGATATGGTCATTCATTCTCCTAAGAAATTTAGTAATGATGAAAAAGCGCCGTTCATGGTTTGATTTTAGTTTTTGAAAAAACAGTAATTGAAACCAATGTACCACTTGCTTCATATTCGCACCTAAAATGTAAGTTCAGGTTCATGTTAAGTAAATTAAAAATTAATTGTGTTATGTTTCAATTGTAATCCTCTTCGCAGTCACCATTCTCGTATTGGTGTTTCAAAGGCTCAATTTCTTCTCATAATGGCTTTTCCGAGTTGATCTCTAAGTCGTCTTTGCCACACGTGAAAGTTCCACATAAGAGCGCGAGTGAAATTATTGATGACGTCACGAATTGTTTAGCCTTGGCCTTGTTTCAGTGATGAATAAACTGTACATTGTAAGTACATAGCCCGGAGCATTCTCGATTCGCTCGTGGAAATCCTCGGAATTTGTCGGAGAATGATTGTAAACCGAGGTTGGTAATCTTCGGATAATTTTCAAAACTCGTCGGAAAATCGCCAAAATCTTCATATTGCCTGTTCCTTGTAAATTAAGCAAAATAACACATAACAGCTTGTAGATGTGAAATTTAATTCTATTGTCGTATTCAACGGTCTAAGAGAATGAAGAGAGCTTCCAACACAAACGTAGTATTTCCCATTTAATGAAACAGTTTATTACATCTCTCAGTCACTAAGCGCGCTATGACAGGTCAATTTAGCGTGCCGTATACTACTGTACAACCCGCTAAAATTTAAAATTTCTTTCAAATTGCACTCGCCTCAAGGCTTGTGCTATTTTGAGAGGATTTTCAAATATCGCCAGTAATGTAAATCCTTAAAACCTCTCCCATTTATACAATTACTTATACATATTTTGTTCGGAGCAGTCATGTTGCATTCATCACTTTAGATTTCTACTACAAGGAACTCTTAGCTGCAGGCTAAGGTTATTTTCTAGACCGCATGTTTAAGCTTTTCATCTTACAGCTTTCCAGCTCCAAGTAAGCAAAGAGATTAATCATAGTGGCTATGAGCCACTCAACATGGAAAATAGATCGTCTGTAAACAGTGACAATTTTGATAGCACTGATGGCTTGAGGTTTTAATTCGTAGGTTAATTTAAAGTGAAAGCCCACTGGCAAAACGCAAGGGTAAGAGAATACACGAGGAAATGTAACACCGTTTAAAAACATTCATGAAGTTATTGGTGATCCTCGTCCGAAACAATTAGAAAAGCAATTAAAATCGGATCCTCCTTTTCATTCCTATTTTTTTCGTTCTTTATTTTCCCAGGCGATTTTTGTGATCAGTGAATTTTCTTTCTTTGTTACCTTTTGAGAGATCTTAGAAAAAAAAAGAAAATTATCCAACGTAGAGTCATAATACCACAACGACTGCACCGCGTCTCGTCCGCTCAACAAGGTTAATCCCTGTTCGGCGGGGTTCCTGCTTGGATGAGTTACCAAATACGAATCTCCCGTGTTGTAATAACTTCTTTCTTTCTCTTTTTTCCTTTTCTTCCCTTTCCAAGGCGATATTAGTGACTACTGAACTCCCAGTCTTGTTTAATGGCTTTTTTGTATTTATCAACCATTTTGTTCACATCATTTCGTCATGTCTGCATTTATCCTTGAAGTATTTATTTAAAATACTTTGTCGTTTGAATTCTCCTTAGTTTCCTCATTTGTTGATCGTCAAGAACCCGGGGGGAATCCTATCTGAAAATGTCGCGGATACTCGCCGTCTCGGCTACAAATCGAAGATTCTGGTCTCGCTTCGGGTGTTGATGACGAAACGTCACCATTCTTAGCTGTCAAATCACCCTTTGGGGTGCACTCGAAGAAATAATAATAAAAGAAACGCTCACATTTATTTTCCGCTGATCTCTCGAGTGCACGCGGGATCCTTTACTGAACAGTGGCTAGTAATCGAACCTATTCCGTTTTAAGTGCTATCTTTTAAGGGTCTAATGAAGTTCGAGCAACGCCCACATAAGTCTTCTTTACGAGTTAAAATTCAGATTTTCCGCCTAGCATCCCTGACCTTCTTAAATGGGAGTTCCCCCTCCCCCGGGGTTCCAAATGTCTGACAAGAAGTGAAGGAGTGAAGGAGTGAAGGAGCGAAGGAACGATGGAGGGAAATCGTCCCATCACTTTAACTTGGAAAATATAACTATTATTCAAGTTTTAAATCA